CCTGCGTTTTCATTATCGGCACTTAAAGTGAATGAAAACACACCGACTCTAAGGTGAGAGTCAAATGTGTTGCTCTCTGCTAGTAGCGCGTTTTGTGTAATCAGAGTGGGAAATTAACACTGGCATTAACACAGCAGCCAAATAGGGGTTCGTTTTTGTTGTGTCTAGTAAATTAGCTTTCACCCACACACCTTTACAGCTTTTTACAGATTACATATCAGAGAAATAACCTGTTTTTTTTCGCTGCAAAGTGAATGGAGGAGGGAAAACCTTACTAAGAAGCTAATAATACACCTAATAGACATGTAAGCATAGAGCAACTGGTTTTATTGCCAAAAAGAACATCTTCAGTCATGCATTCATGTCTTGTAAGTATAACTGCGAACACAGGCAGTGGAACAGTACGCAAATACAGCTATTTCACATGTTACACTATGAATTTCAATGATACATTTTTCTCCAGGCAGCATTTAATGTATGCATATACAGCGTTGTATTGTATATTACTATTCTACAGCAGTTGCACTTATTTTTTACCAATGCAGCTATTTTGAGAGAATAGAAAAAAAGAGATAATTAATCCTGTTCCTTTTTTGCATTTGAAGTTATTCTCACCCCAAATTTTAGAACCAGCTCTCTGCCACAGCTCAATTGCACATAAACAGACAGCTCCAGCAGGCTGATCGTTATCTCATATTTATAATGGATATCTACTGAAACCAATCACTGGCTGGCTTCATGCAAAAGCTTTGAAATGGCAACAACAAATGGCAACTATATATGTAAAATTGTATATTGTCAACATCTGCATCTGAACTTTGGGATTTGTGAGAGCTTTTGTTTCACTCATCTTGTTTACATGCGACTGATCACTCTCCTTTTTTGGTAGCGCTGAAAGGATTAGATGATGGGCAGAGAATTATTGTGCAAATATTTTGATAATCCATTGATCTTTTCCACCATGTCTCAAGCAAAAAAAATGCTCACAATTGACTGGCCAGGCCAAAACTCAGGATTGGTAAGACTAAACAACACGTTTGATGATGTCTGCTTGGACTTTGGGAGACTGGTAGACAATTTTTGGACTAAACCGTAAATCCAGAAAATAATCTACAGATTAATAAATGATTAAGTTAGAGCCCTACTCATAGGTACTGGTTTTATAGATACTTGCCCACTGTTCTTCCTCAGGTTTTTTTATTCATATGTATCAATAAACTCAACAGTTATGCTGCATTTGTGCTTCTGATAATTCAGACTGTATCATACTGAAAGCTAAATTTTTTTTTTTTTTTTTTTTACAGTGACTAAACTAACTGCAGTTAGACCAATTTTGAGTGTGAGCATTGCACATGAACTGTGAGGGCGAGCTTGTGTGGAGGATGATAAAACAACATCTAAACAGCCAAATGCTGACAAGTTCCCAGCCAGCCAGAAAAGCTTGTGCTTGTTTAGGTGGAGCCGGTGAAACCTGCACATCAGTCAACCTGTCACCGAGAGACGCCCTAGGTTAAGTTCAACTCCTGGAGAGAGAGAAAGAGAGGGAGGGAGAGACAGAAAAGATCGCTGAGAGGAAGAAGAGATAAAGGTAGGGAGAGGGAGCAAACGCAAACAAGAGAAAGAGAACTAATAGGAACATGATCAAGCTCACTGTCCTGACCTGCAGAAATATAATGCTGCCAAACATGCTCTTGAAAGCAGAGCATGCACACACTGAGTGTTTCCCTGGTGGGCCTGACTTGTCAGAGCTCAGCTCAGTGAACAGATGCAGATAGTGGAGGCGAGACACCAGAGAAGGTCACACACACACACACACACACACACACACACACACACACACACACACACAAACACACACACACACACACCACTCTATTACACCCAGCAGTATTTGCCTAAGGATGGTGTTTAGGTTTGGGTTTAATAGCTGTCTGTCGGCACCACTTCGCATGACATTTTCAGCTTTCAGTCCAAACACCTGACAGGTGCATTAACTCTGAAACATGTCTGATCCTTCATCTTATATTTTAAACATTAGGGTGACACTCTAATCCAGGACAAATTTTGATGGGTGCACTGGGAGGCCTTTGGTGTCTTGCTCAAGGACGCTCTGCCTGGGTATTCCAGCTGATGAAGGAATCAAACCTGTGACCTTGCACTTATCAAACAGCCTCTTTTCTAAGTACCCCCCCCACTGTACCATGACTTTCATCCATCACGCTGGTTTTCAAAGGCTGGGACTGAGGCCAAAGAGTCACAGGAAGATAGAATGGCCACTTTTTCTCAGAAAAGTCTTAAGGTAATGAGCCTGTGTTGTGATCCAAAAGCTCCTCTAAGATAGCTTTAATTAAATACTCTATGGTTGCAGCTCGCCGTAGAAGAGCACCATATTTTTTCACATTAATTTGCACAAATGACTAGGTGTAGAGAGAATATTTAAACACGCATTTCTGTTTTATGCCTTGATCCACTTGTGTTTCTTCACATTTGACTTCCTAGCTGCAGAACTTTTCCAAGCCACTCGCAGAATTAGCAGAACGTCGGCCAGTTCCCTCATTGTCAATCCATCTCTCTCTTCCATTTCCCTCCACCTCTGACGATAAGCGAGTCCAATCTCGCTGATGTATCCCTGTCTCCAGTCAAACTCCCAGCCTCAACAGCGTGTGCTCAATCAGCCCGCCGGCTTGGGGCCCCTGCAGTAGATCATCTCTCCACATCAGTCGGATCAAGGCGGCAAGATCTGCTAAACCTCGACTTCATAAAACATTCATCTTCATCTCCTGACGGCTATCTAGACGCAAACTCTTTCTCCTAAAATATTGCTCTACCTTGTCCTAAAATTTTCCCTTTTTTTTTTTTTTTTTTTTTTAAGCTTCCGTAACCTTTAGCACTGGCTGAAAAGACACAGATCCCGTCAGCAAAAGTGAAATTCAATGTGTTGAGTTAGACCTCTGATAAGTGATAAGATGATTTAAGCCACTTCCACAGAGCCCACCCTGGCTGTCAAACCGGTGACCTTCAGGCTATGGGACACTTCCTCCAGCCACTGGACACTCCATGCTCGCCCGGGCCAAGCATGAATTCATTACTTCACAGTAATAGCTCAGTCATGCTTGTTTAGTAACCAGCGAGGGAATTTGCCGTGTCCTACATTTATATTCTGCATGTCGTTTGCCCTTTTAGCACCTTCGGCTTGCTCGCTGAGAAACCCACTTGTCTGTTGTGTTCGGTCATTAACAGCTGCGACCACCTGTGTGGCCATTTTGCTGCAGTGTTAGCCCGCGTTTGAGTGTTTATGTGTGGCCTTGTGTCAGAGCATGACAACACTACTACTACAACACTTCTGCAGCACTGCAGTTGGGAAGACATGGGGTTATTAACATTAAATGAGACCTTCTTATTGACATTTATTAAATTTGTCGCTATAAGTGTCATGGGTGTGGCAAAGAATTCTGGACCCTCGTGTCCTTGAGACCTTCTCCAAAAAAAAAACAAACAAAAAAAAAGCCCAGATGGGGAGGACAAAGAGTGTCAAAGCTTTTGGTAAAGATCCAGGCAGGTTCTTTGCACAGCTGCAGGCCGCTTGTTTGTTACGGCAACACACCAGAGTCGCTGAAGTGTCCTCAACAATCAACGCTCAATTGCAATAAGCTGGACTCTACGACAACAGCATGTCTGCTGCTCAATCTCTTTGTTTGTGTGAGCAGCAACTGCGCTTGAGTGAGTGTTTAGGAGTGTGCGCATCAAGAACGTGCATTTGTGTACGAATATGTATGCAGTCATGTGTAAAATTTGCATGTTGAGTGCATCTGTACATCAGTGTGTGTGTGTGTGTCTCTGATGACAGCAGGCTGATTAAGCTGTTGCATAGTAATGAGCTATGGCTGTCTGTCTGGCAGCTGCTCTGACAACCTCTTTCCACAACTAGCCCTCCCACACACACATACACAAGTGAGATGCACACTAAAAAAAAAAAAAAAAAACGATACACACAGGCATATATTGTGTAATTGCGTGCACCAACACAAGAAATGCCACAATTCTGAAAAGGCATCAGAACTGACAACTGCACTGATGTGCTGTTGCTCTCAGTGAAATCACTGAGAAAGTTGTGCTAATGCGGAAGAGGATAACAGCCACACTTCCTCCTCCTTCACCCTTTTTGTTGTGTTTTCATCCTGATAATGACTGCTCACTAAGGAATAAGTCATTTCCTGCTTCAAATCACTGATGTCAGGAGAAATATCATCCACAGGCGCAGAGGGCACCGGCTCTGTGTGTGTGTGTGTGTGTGTGTGTGTGTGTGTGTGCGTGTGTATTTGTATGCTTGAGTACCTGTCTAGCCCCTGGGTCTGTTACAAATATCACCGGGGCAACTAGATTGATGTGTGTGCTTAAAGAGAGCGCCATGCCTGTCCCTCATTTCACTGAGGTCAGTGTCAGCACCCGGGCAAGAAAATGGAGACTAATGAGATTAATGTGCTGCTTAGAGGAGATGTGAAAAGACAGAACTAACAAATTTACATGTTGAGTTTGTGGATTAAATTGATAAGAGTATAGAGAGACAGAATAAATGCTATTATGCCTAGAAAACTACAGAAAAATAACCACCATGTTTATGTTTACTGTCTGAACAGCATAGAGAATGGCAACAGTGGGAAGGGTTAAATACCTAATATATAAATGTACAATTATATTAAACCATCTTCTCATGGTACAAGTACAAAAATTGCTTAGAGGGAGGGGATGGCAGTGAGATTAAACTGGTCCTTATTTTCCTGTGGGGGGCTAGCCCCTCAGTCCCAAAAGACCCCCCCCCCCACACACACACACACACACACACACACTCTCTCTCTCTCTCTCTCTCTCTCTCGCTCTCTCTCTCTCTCTCTCTCACACACACACACACACACACACACACACACACACACACACACACACACACATTGGGACCCGCTAATGGAAAAGCCAACAAACGTAATGTATGTCCATCGCCTTACCTTGTTGATGTCCCCTTCCTCACATCACACATCATGCACTTGAAAGCCTCGGCCGTGTTCTTGTACGTGCACACGCTGCAGTCCCAAAACCCCTCGTCGGAGGAGGGCTTCGGTTGACGCTTCGGCCTTTAAAACAATAAATGTGAAAAAGAAAAATCAAAAATTAACAATAATAAATAAAGGAGATGGTAAGAGAGGAGAGGAAAGGGGGTGAGAGGAGACAAGAAGAGTGAGTTCAGCTCGCATCCACGGAGGCTATCGATAGCAAACATCTGGGTAAGCCTATAGGATTTAGGAAATCATCTGCGAGCGCGCTGTGATCCGACACTGTAATTGGCGATGAGGTTTTAACACCCGCGCGCGCACACCTCGCACGCGCGCACACACACATGCGGCGCGAGAGAGTGAGAGAGAGCGAGGGAGAGAGAGAGAGAGACCGTGGAGAAAACCCATTTTTTCCGTGCGCTCGCCGATGTCCGCTCCCCTCTCCTAGCTTGAATATCTAGGACGCACCAACTCGGCCGTTTACCTTGTGGGACTCCTCTTGTCGCCCATGCCAGACCAGGGTTTCTCTGGAGGTGCTGAGACGAGCAGAAGTCTTGTTATTTCCAACAATTTTAGCAAAAGAAGCGATGCGCCTGTGCCGCTCGGCTTCCAGCTGTCGTGGAAACTCCGCTTGGGAAATGGTCACGTGACTCGCCTCGGCCAATCAGAGGCTGGGTTACTTCCCGAGGCTGACATTCCTCTTGATGAATCTATGATACCTTCACGTACCCACTGAAAGCGCGGACTTCTGTATACCAAGGGTGATAAATATATTATTTGATTATTATGACAAACGTGGCCCAGAAACACGCTGTTCTTCACCTAAATGTAATAAACAACCGTATGTACGGTTTGCTTTCGGTTCTAATCTAACACTGTAGCCGATTTCACATACTTGCACATATTAAAACAGGAGGAAATACTGAGCAAAAACCACCTTCTCGTGCAGTACTTGGTTTAAATATCCTTGTCACATAATTGATTCACTTCGGTTACAACTACAGAGCAGCGTTCAAAAATTGAAGTGTAAAACAGATCTCAGGGATATGAAAGCACAGCACACAAAACAAAGCCTACATTAATATGTAGTTTTACATATAATGATTACACAGTGACTACTAGACGTCGCATACAGCAGTTACCTCTTTCTCCTTGTCATGAGCCCTACAGCATTTTCATTTCCGACAGCACTCGAATGCAACAAAAGACACAGTAGCTAATGTTGCGTCTACGGCAATGTGTTAACACGGTCCCACTCATATCCGCTCACTATGATTTAATATCCCTCCATCTTCGCGTTAGCGTCGCAGACTGCAGACATGCGGCAGCAGTTTAGACCACAGACGCGTAAAACATCGGGGAATCCCTCGCTTTGTTTGCGTGCTGACGCAGGAGAGCTCCAAAGACCACAATCCCAAGCGAACAGACTGAGGGAGCCAGGGGTTCCCAAACCGTTTCATATCAAGGATAACTAAGTGGGTCTCCATTATCTTCTGCCGATGGAGTTTTCCCGCAGAGAAACCTCAATTGCAGCAATTTAGCTAATGCAAAATTTAGGATTCTGATTAGACATCAATTGGTTTAGAAGTGCTCATTCCAGTTTTGATAATCGTTTTCTAATTGTTAGGAATGTATCAAGAAAAAACAACTACTTTGTTTTATATTAAATTTCAATTGACTTCAATTTTGTGGTTGACAAGTACACAACCTTATGCTCATGACATATTTCTTATAGACATTTTATAGACAAAATGATTCAAATATAAAAATTGAATATTGAAATTGACTGGCCTTTGTTAACTACCCTATTGCCATTCATTTCATTGAACTAGAAATAGTCAATAACCTCGTTTTAGTCCTCAGCATTCTCTATCTGATTTTGCATTAACGCTGAAATAACTAACAAGTAATTGAGTTTATCATTAAGAAAGAAGGCTTTATTCAATGGTATAAAAAAGTTTCACACACAATCATCAGTCAACCCAAGAACAATTACACAGTATTTTTAGAAACATAAAGATGTCTCAGCTCTATATACAAGAGGGAAAAAATGGAAGCACCCCACTGTAACACAAAACACCTTACAAAGCTAAATCCATTATTATTATTATTATTATAATTATTATTATTAGTCACTGAGCTCCTCTTCGTCACTGAAGTATGTGCTCTTTTTGATCCTTGGTTTTTTAGAATCCGAGGATGTTGAAGCGTGTGCATCAGCCTCTTGAGACAAAATTGCCTGCTTCCTCTTTTTCTCCTCCTCTTCCTCAATACGGGCTTGCTGGAAGGACATGAGAAAGGAAGAACAAATCAGTAAATTTTAGTAGACAGGTTTTTCCAACTCCAATAGCTTCAATCTCAGTTATTTATATTACCTCCTTGCTCTCCTATGTTTGTTTTTTTGAGGTAGTATGTTTTATTTCAGTAGAGATGTTACAAGTGTTGTTTAGGTCACAAGGAAACTCAAAAGGATACATATGTTCCCTAATATTATTCAATGAATTATATGCAAAACCTTAAAGAAGTCACTGTAGACAAGTGATTTAACTGTTTTCTACAGTGTATATATGTACACTTACCTGAAAAGCTATAGCTTGGCTCAGACTATCTAAGGCTGGGTCCTCTCCCTCTTCTTCACTTTCTTCTTCTTCCTCTTCACTACAAGGGAAAAGATGTAGAAATTACAAAAACAACAGTCTATTATACAATATCTCATCATATTGGTTGTTGAACTCTTACACATGCTCAGGTTGTTGAGCCTTTTTCTTCTTTTTCTTTTCTTTCTTCTTCGGAGGTTCCCTCTCTCCCAGCACATTTTTGGGGCACGCATAGCTCAGATGACCTGTATCCTGTGATTTTCATTAAAAAATAACACAAATAAAATTAAAATCAGACATCAACAACAACTCAGACAACTGGAATAATTCTCTACACATCCCATCTTATTTTTCAATTCAGAGAGGACAGAAAACAAATTATACTTGCAACTGTGATTCAATCAAATTTGATCTCACGGGACAAACAAAATTGTCACTGACCCCACATTCATAACATTTAGACTTGTCTGTGTAGTTCCGCCTTCTAATAAACTCAGTTGCTCGTCCATTGTCTACTGCAATGCTTGCTTTCACCGTTCTGCCAAACACCTGGGAGACAAATGCATTTGTTACTCCGACAAATGAATATCCTTCGAAGCACCACAACATGTGAAAACTACTGGTGTTGATGTGAAATAAACTCACCTGTTTGTTGTTTATTGCTCTTGCACAGTTATGTGCTGATTCTCTATCCAGGAAGAGAACAAATGCCACCCCTTTACTCTGGCGAGTCTCTTTGTCCTTTACAATTGTAACCCTGAAAATGGTTTGAATAACTATCAATGCTTATTTTAAAACGGCAGAGAGAAATATTCAGAGCCTTTAACTGATTGTTGTGAGTTATGTGCTCCAGCTACTGTTCAGTGTTTACACATTGCTGTAAAAATATGATTAATAAAAAATAAATTACGACAGAGTCATACTTACTTTACAACTTTTCCATATTTGGTGAATAGCTGAAATGAGGCAAAGTGATCTGTTTTAATCTTATTTGTGGTCTTGTTCAACAGAGGCATTGTTAACATTGTTTCATAATAAAAAATTACCTTGTGCAGGTCATTGTTGGTCAGAGAGAAAGGCAGGTTAGACACATACACAGTGCTTTTGCTTGGTGCCAAACCCCCGCTCATACTGGACGCATACGACACTGCAAGACAAAAAAAGACAGTCAAATGATCATAAAACATTCAAACAGCCAGCTACTCAGCTAGCCTTTATACGTCCACCATTAATTAAATGTAGCGTTAAACGTTTTAACTTTACTTCAACCAGCTAAGTACCAATTTTATACAAATTATCTTAATCAAACGACTCACCAATGCAGCCTCCACCATTAGAATAATGTCTAAATTTGTATAAAATAGCTGTATTTTTTGTTTTTGTATGTAGCTAGCTAGTGCCTAACAGACAAAAACAAACGTCATATCTGTACGTCGCAATTTGATGACGTACAAGTATTCCTCGTCCAATAAAAAAAGCCGTTGACCAACCGGGAGAGGCTAGGCTAACTAACCATCAGAGAGAGGTGAGATTGTTTTTGCTATTTTGCGTGCAATAAATTACCTTTTAGTTTAGGTTATTTAACTTGCATTTATCTACTGGGACCCATAATTCGTCTTAATCATTTATTTGTGATTTTTATGTCGCAGTAACGTAAAGCTAACTTGCACCCCCAGATGAAATAAAACGTGCGGATGTTTGCAACATATATGGAGGCTAGCTAATTAGCAATGCTAGCTTCCCATTCTACATGGAACAACTGTAGTTAACAGTAAATTCAGTAACACAGAGAATGTTGTGATGATTTTTGTAACCTGTCGGTTTGGTGCTGTCCTGTTGTATGAGGGTGTCGTTGGTCAAATAGACATTTATAGTCTGCAGAAAGTAACCTCATCCGTCTCAGTTGCAGGATCACATCTCATAGTCAAACACTGGTCCCTATCTTATCTCATGTCACGCTTTATTGTACTTATGGCAAAATAGCTATGTTTTCCACCTAAGTACATTTATGAAGACTCCTAAAATATAGGCATGATAACGTATTCCAAATGTATAGTGTTAACACTTTTTTTTTTTTTTTAATCGTTTTACAGATTGTGGTGAAGATCTTATATACTACACAGAAGTCCTTAAGTCAAAAAGTAAGTTCTTAACCAACTCCTTTACAGTGCAACAGTTTAACATTGGTTTTGGGTTAGGGTCAGACAAACAAACAAAATGCTTCTTCTGCAAGGGTACATCTGAAACAAAACATGATCATTTATCAGAGAATCTTTCAAGTGGCACGTAAATGGATTCAGACAACATTATATTGTAAAGAATATTTAAGCATAGGTGATTTTTCTGTTGCCCAAACCAAATTCATCAAATTAAATATTAACTTCAATACTATGTTTGTGCATTTTTAATAATGCTATGTTTTACTGGAACACTGCTGCTCAAAGAAGTTGGCTGAACATCAACACCCTTGCTTGGTGAAATGTTTTTGCCTTTTGCAGTGACATACAGGAGAGACAGGAGCATACGAGAGGTGTATGATGAACGCTTTTTAACAGAGAGACCGGTGAGTGTGAACCAAGTAGCTTCAGGGTCTATTTTCCTTTCTTTATACCACTTTTGAACTTCTTCTATCACATTCAAAACTGTGCACATATAAGCACAAGTAAGAATACTGTTTGTCTTCCAAGCAGCCAGTATAGATCATTGAGGGAAGGAGGGCTAAAATATGCCAAACCAAAATATTATATTATATATATATTTCAGTGGTGTTTGTTGTTGTCACAGTCATTTAGTGAACAGTATAGAAAAAGAATAACACAGCTTGTCTAAACTGAGAAGAATCTCTTCAGAGATTTTTTTTTATCTCAGCTGAAGAAGTTTTTAGCCAACAGGTTGCCATAAGCTGCAACAAAGTTTAACAAAATAAAGTTCATGCAACAACAATTTTTAAAAACCATTGTTAATGGTATATGTCAAATCCATGAAATGTACTCATCCTCGTAGGGTCCGTACCCACGAGCAGGAGGAGCGGTTGAAAGGAGGGGCCCCTTTGGCAGGCCAGAGGATGACTATGGCCGGGGCGTGTACGATTACGAAGGAGGTCCCCGCTTTTTCCCAAATGGCGGTGCCCCCCGAAGTTACCATGAAGATCAGAGGGGCTACCACGGAGACGGTCTTCATTTCCCTGCTGAACGCAGAGCAGTACCACCTTCAAGGAGGGTGAGAGCCATATGTCACACATTACTGCATAGCTTATTTTATTGTATGCATAAAAACTAATTAGATAAATGGATTAGGATAAAAAGATGTAAAGACGAGATAAAACAAGAAGTGGCTAAGGCTGCTTCTACAGATACAATTTCATTATTTAACAAACTAAATCAGAAAGAAATTAAAACACATGTTCAGCTGCAGAATAAAATGCTCAATAACTGCATATGGGAGCTAAAAAGTGACTTTTTAAAGACATCAGAAATTTCTGTCCATCTTCATTCTAGTCCAAATGCAAATTATTTCAAGTTACTTGAAACTTGCATAATTAATACAAACATACAATGTCCCCCATACACAATTATTGGCACACTTTTTGATGAATATCCGCACCTTTGCTTAATTTTCAGTGTTCACATGACCTGGATTGACAAATGAATTATGGTTTTACCGCATAAATGGGGGGTGATTGTATCCAGTGGCCAAGATAAGAGAGCATCAGAAATGCTATTATCAAAAAAACATAATTCCGAAGGCTTCAAGGCAATCGCCAAAGATCTTTAAATCCCCTTTCAATAGTTTGTAAAACATTTACTCATTACTTGTTTAATCCATAATAACTTACAAGTGAGGGGTGCCACTAAAGCTTCAGTACAGTAGGACACCTTGGAGTAAGCACTAAGTACTAAATCTGTTCAGTAAGATGACGTGATAGATCATGTAAAGAAGGGCATGGTAAGTGAAAGTTAGACATGTTACAGTGTTTGAGGTGTTAGGAGAATAGGTGCTCTCGGAAGAGATGAGTCATCAAAAGATTCTCAAAGAGAGAGGGACGCCCCTTGCTCTTTTATTAAGAAGTTTCACAGTCATAAAGCTGTTGAGATTCTTCCAGGATGTGGTGCTTAAAGGAAACTCAATGAAAGGATCTACAAAGCTAGGTGCACATTGTGGAAAACCCACCTTGCAAAAGCTTCAAGCTGCCATGGTGCAATGTTGAGTGTTGGTTTCAGCCTGTATCATATGCTGCACACTAAACAAAGTAGGAGAAAACCAAAGAGGACACCACTTTTGAAAGGCAAAAAAAAGACTAATGTTTGCAAAAACGTTCATAGATAAGCCATAGTCTTTCAGGGATAATGTTCTATGGACAGATGAAACCAAAGTAGAGGGCTTTGATAATGCAGTGCATCAGTCTGTTTATAAGCAACAAAATGAAGCCCGTAAGGAAAAGACTAACACACCTTTTCTGCCTCTGGTACTGGAGGCAGTGAATGTAACAAACAAATGATGAAATCAGAAGATTGACAAGGCATTTTAGAGCAGAGTGTGTCACCCAGTGTAAGAAAAGATGGACTGTTTTTAAACCTGAAATGCCATTGAAAACTTTTTGAGAACTAAAATCTGCCACTGCAAAAGGGACTAATATTAGCGAAGGGTGCCAATAACTATTATGCATTTCCCCTTTTTTTTTTTTTATTTTTTTATTTTATTTTATTTTGACCAGTACTGAAACTATCACTATACATTCATGCCATTTTCTCTAATTGCAGATAAATTGTAGTTGCAGATAATGTGATATTGTTGGTTAAACATGCACACACGTTACTGGCCAGCTGAGGGTGCTAGAGTTAAAGGATCAACTTGAAATATGTTAAACCTTTTTTCTTTAACACAGTGTGAGCTACATTGTAGCTATTAACAGTGTCAGGTCATTTAGACTTGTTTTTTTTTTTTAAACTCTATTTGGCTTCCGTTGTTGCGTGGTACCTTAATTATTGTATTTTTCAGTCAGTTTTGCCCTCATGAGTCCAAGAGATACAATTACATAAACTGTAGGGGAGGTATTTCAGATGGATGGAAGTTAAACACACATTTGTTGTTTCAAACAGACTATTTACAGCTAAATTCCAGAACATCTTAACTTTAGGACACAACCAAATAATGCAGAAAAAAAACGGTGTTGAGGATCACTCTCACTTTTTGTTTTTACATTTTCTCAACTGTGTGTCACAGGAGGACTATCCTTACAGAGTACCCAGAGAGGACCCTCACGCAGGACGACCACTGGAGTTTGGGTAAACTTCTCCTCCTCTAGGGCTCGCCACAGAACCCTCTGTGTTTAATTCAAGATCTCTGCAGGCCTCCGTCTTCAGTATCCCTATTTTAAAAATGTATTTACATAGCAGCAATCATAAATCATGGTCTGCTCTGGCCCATATTGGCCTGTCTCACCTTATTCATATTTCTTGCAGCTTCAAGTCTTGCCTGGCTCCACACTGTTTGATAACTGTTCAGACTAGCAGTGTTAGCTGAACACTGTAGAAATTTAGGCTACATATTTTAGTCATCAGGTTTACAGTAAAAGTATTATAGTTTCTTCATGGGCAAAGCAACAGTGAACTGAAGTGACCACAGATGAAATTAACAAGGGCAATCATTATTATGCTTGTAATGTTGGTGAACTACGAATGGCAGCAAAAAACGGCATAAATCCCTAATTTCCAAAAGTCATTATATATGGTTTGTATATTAGTGAGCATCTGTGTGCTGGAGTATTATAAAACAACAGTCTTCCTTCTTTGCTATTTACAACATTGAGCAGGGTTTTCAGGTCGCACTGTGCTGTTTGATGGTGCCAAAATAAAATATGAGTTCATATTACCCGATTGATTGATGACATTTGACTTTGCAGTTAGCTGGAAAAATCAAAGAGGTGAGATAAGGTGACACAACTCATCATGACACTGAATTCTCACCACTCTCTGACTAATTTTGAGTGTCAAGGGGGATTTAAAGGGATTAAGGCTGTTCACCTTGCTAACGCTGAACTACAAAGACCAATAAGCTTTGTGTTATAACACCTACCTTTAGTCGGTGCCCATTTTAAAAGCAGTTTTATACAGTGGCAAAATTGAGAGCAGTGCATGGGGAGTCTCAAGTGATATAGGGAAAAATGATTTTGCACATATGTGTGTTCCATGTTTACATTTTGCATGTTTTGTCATTGTCAAGCATAATGTAAACCTGGTTACCACACAACTGGCATTATCACATAAAACTGAACCATCGGTACACAAAATGAAAATGACAGTATATATCATTTAACGCTTCTCATGCATATTTTGACCCTCGGATGGTTGAAGTGCAACCTTTTTATTATATCTGCTCTCATTCATTATCTTGAATGACATTTAGTAAAAAAAGATCTTCTTTATCTTAGTCAGACTGGTTGCGTCTGTTCAGCCTGGATAAATGTTTCACGTCAAGCTAAACCCTGACAGATAAAAGAGATGGAAGCGCCTTTGTCTGCATATTTAAACATCATCTGGATACAGGATGAGTTCCACCTTTTATGTGGAAATATATTGTATTAAGTGGTAACCATATTTGGCCTCTATAGTTTTTTTTTTTTTTAGCTGAGACATTTTTTACATATTGAGAAAGATGCACAAGCCAAAACTGTAAAAGCATGCAACCAGTTTTCTAGAGGACTGTGTGTACACTCAAATGATGATGTGTAAAGGTCTATGAACAAAATCAAGGACCCGATGGCGTGTGTTTTCATGTTGTACAGTATTTGCTTCTGTATTTACTTATAGCTGAACCACATGTGTGTTTTTATCCCCTTAGCGCCCGAGCACCACCTCCTCATAGCGTACGAAACCAGGGCATCTACCCGGCGCCCAGGTCCCTGCCAGAGAGCGGGGAAGACACGCTAGTGCAGGCCATCCTCAACCTGGACAGAGGGTACGAGTGAATACACACTTAATCACTGCTTAGGGCTTCCATGTGCCATCGTCTAAGTGCATGCAGCTTATTCATTGCAGCCAATGTGTGTAATTAGTGAAAATGATAAATACAGTCTTTGGAGAGAATGAAAATCTGCCTGTGTTTGGGACTCATTAGTTACATTGTTTAAGCCCATATACTGGAATAAACAGTGTCAATGATGCAAATCAAGTGCGTCTGGTTAAATAAGATGGACTGCTCTCTCTTGTTTGTTGCTCTTATTTTCTTCTGTCCTCTTGCACTCATCTTTTAACAGTGATTATGGCTGTTTGTCACTGTAGCTGTGACATACTATAGGTTTTTAAAGCAGCTGTCATTGATGTATGAAGTATGCATTCTGTGCAGTGACCTTAAAAGAAGCTAGAGGGCAGCATTGTGCTTTGTCAGCACAGGAAAAGGAAAAAGACTGATTTTCAGTTGACATTCTCTGAAACGGAACAATACCAGTTGTGGCAGATGGTGGTTTAGAACTGGAGATTTCTTTTTGTCAAATGATTATAAAGAGGTAATTTGTCATTAGCTGCAACGCTTCGAGTTGAACACTTGAGAAACATTCCCTGTGCTTTTCCAGGGAGGACAGAGACCACTACAGGAGAAAGGCAGCCCCGTTCCCTCCCCTCAGAGAACGTTCTCCTGTGCGCCGTGAGGTGGCCCGCTCCCCCCACAGTCGCTCCGGTTCCAGCGTCAGCAGCAGAGGCTACTCGCCAGACAGAGCCAAGAGCCTGCCATTTCCCTCACAGCAAGGCAAGAGTATGTAGAATCCATAGTTTCCCCTCCCCTGATGGAGTGTGGAGAGCTTTTTCAGTTTCAGGACAACCACCCACAAAAGCGTCTATTCATTGTTTAGGAACAGAGCTCTTTTGTGTTTGTTCCACATCTGTCTTAATACTTCACTGTCCATCCATAACTGATAATCTGGCTGACTGGCTTTTCAGGTGTGGACGCCCCGGAGGGTCACGTGGGTGTTTCTGAGCACGTTTGGGGAGGACTCTTTCCTCAACAGAGCGGACATGACACTCTGGGTCTGTACATGGCGCCATGTGAACGAGCTTGGACCTGGGTGATAAGCTCATCTATTGTTCCTCACGTGTCTTTCCATCCTTGTCATGTCCTACACCTCAGAGATGTCTGCCACTGAGCCTTGAGAGGAATGCAAGGATAGAGGACAGAGAATAAATAAATAAAAGGCCTGTTGATACTTAAAATGATTAACTAAATTCTTGATAACCCTATAGAATATAATATATACGCTTTATCATCATCTATAAAATGCAATTTTATATCTTTTTGACATTGAAATTCTTTCACCCAGGTCTGAAGCAAGTTGCATCATGACTTTTGTTTAAGTTTGACTTTGCTGGTTTTTTATTTTTATTTATTTATTTTTTTACATAAACCATTTCTGCTCCCTGTTGTGGAGGTACATTAGCACTTTCCATGGTTCCTACACTGATCTGTTAATGTATGACATTTAAATTCTTTTGGTCTGGAGCAACGTGACGATTTACAGTAAATGTTCTTGTACAGACCAAACGAGCAACATAAACTTATTTAGCCCCATATTATTCTCAGTTGATATGTGATTCAGTGTGTATCACACTGAATTAAAACAATTTTATTTATCCACTTTGTCTGCTCTGAAAATAAAGGATGATGTGTAGGAACTGTGGATTTTACCGTCCATGTCAAAGCTATATGACAAATAGCATTTAGGCAAATTGCTAACTAGCAATTTTAATCCATGTCAGATCTATATTATATACATTTTTATTAATATTGCTGACACTGGACAGCAACTGTATGGGTCCACAAAACTACTTTCCTACCAAGCTAACACTACATTGGACAGTAAAATACCTAAGTGCTAAAGTATTTCTTTGTTCACTGCATGTTTGCAGGCTCTGCAGCTGTAAACCTTCCAACGTCCCTGTTTCTACAAGTAGTTTCATTTAGATGTGCTACCATCTTTAGCGCTCTGTCATTTTCTCCTTTTTTAAGTTTCCATTTGTTTGGTGCATTTTACTTGTGAACCGAGGTTAGTGGACCACGGGACATCATCATGCTAGTGTGGCCAAATTACAAATGGTTGCTGAATGGTTTTAAAAAGTTTGAAATGCATGACCGCAAATTCTTGAAAGTAGAGCATAACGCCATTTATCGTACTTTTAGTGGAGCATCAGGGCAGTTAGTGTGCTTGCTAGTTTGCTGTAGTGCAGTGATTATATACACAGCCAGTGACCTTACGGTTTGGTCTTCCTGCAGGGTATGAAGAGACTTATTCTCAGAGCAAGATGGCTGGTAAGTATAGTTCAGTATAGTTGTTGTCGTCCAGGCTAGAGAAGTTGCATCACATGCAGTCTGGCAGTGGTTTAAAACATTTTACATCACCCTGAGGAAATTTAAACACTACTCCTATACCATACCATACCATACCATACCATACCTGGTATAGTCTCTGCACCGTGTCTGTCATTGAACGCTTTCCAATTGAAATAAATGAAAACAAAATGATATGACATGCAGAGGATTTGTTTCTGAAATATACAAAGGTTACAATCGTTAAACTTAAACCTATCCCCAGTCTGCGTAACCCGAGAGAGACAGAGAGCGTTTCTAATGCGTCCAGCAGCCAGCCTTCCTCCCCGCTCTGTCTACCACTTTGTCAGGCCTCATAAAGATGCCACCAGGTCGTGTGTGGATGAAGAGGGAAAGCGTATAGGGTGTCTGATGGATATTCCTGAAGCCGACGTTTCCACTCTGGGGTGTTTTTTTGTTTCATTGCTATGTGCTTTAGAATTCATATTTGTTGGTAGGACTTGACTATAAAAATGGCGGGTTTCAGTCGGTGGAAAGTGAGTGACCGGAGAGGAGGTGGCGTCCACAGTGAGTGGGTTACAGTGTTATCCACCCGCTGGAGTTTGGAGCACGATAGCAAACCATCTGTGTCTTGATTGTTTCAGATGTTGTAGCCCATGTACCTGGATCCTGAAACCAAACCTCGACACCTTTTTACAGAACCCTGACTACTAAAAGTCCTGACATACTCACCCACTTACTCTCCAGACACACTAATCATCCACTTTTTCCCATTGAATTCCTGCTTCCTGCTGTTACAATCCTTCTCTAGTATCTTTTTCTCTACGTGAGTGTGTCCCTCACTTAAGTTTCACCTTGTCAAACTTTTTTTTTTCTCATTTCTCCAGACAAAATTCCTGGCTTGTCAAGAGAAGGCTCTCCACACAGTGCAACGTCAAACAAGGTGAGCTCAAGCAAATGAGATCATTATCTTTTAAGTCAGATTGCAGATTTGGTGTTTTTGTGCTTAAATTTTATATCAAGTTGACTTGAACAAGCAAGAACACGTCTTCTCTTGCTTTCTTTTTTTTTTTTTTCATGCATTTGAGCCTGAAAATTATAAATGCAGCAATTCACTCTCCTATTTATTGTATACCGCCTTTGTCACTGTACAGCAGGATGCATCTGGAACTTCTTAAATTCCATCCTTCTAATAAGCGTTTAGTCCTATTGAAGTGTGTTAATGGGTTTTAAAGTGGCACTCACGCGGAGCATGAAAGCCATCAGGCCCGCGCTTTGTTTACCTGTGGTGTAAGCAGACCTCAATCACAAGAACTTGTAATGGTGTAGGGAAAAGGGGGCTCGAGTGTCGACGAAAGTATGGGTCGTTCCTCTTGTTTTAAAAAGAAAATACTTTTACTGTTTTGAGTGAGAGCTGAATGTAGATATCTCCTGCCTGTTTTGAAAATAATAGCTTGTTTTGCCGATAACTACTCAGGGGAGTGTAAATAGAATCAGATGTGATTAGGCGCAGTGCGTCTGGCTGTGGCCACCCAGAAAGTGAAGAGGCTAACTCAGTAGCCCGAGTCATAACTTTATCACAGGATCTGAGCTTCAAATCCAGGAGAAGTCCCTGTAGAACACACTGGGATTTGTTTAGACCATTTTACAATGAACAAAAGTTTCCTTTTTCCGTGGAGTATGACTGAATAGGTTTGGTAGCTGTGACTGTCTTGGGAAAGGTCTCGATGTATGCATCAACAGCCAGCATGCCTTACGCCACATTCACATCATGCAGGATGGATGGCAGAGAGGGGAAAGACTCCATTGTCAATGACATGTGAGCGTTCACATCATCTGACAACTTAAGGTTGTATAATTACAGAGTTGATTGTGTCAGGGTTTACAGCACTGGGCATTGACAAACTTGCAATAGACCCATTAAATTTGGGCTTAATTACACTGAACGATGGACCGGCATGAGACGTTCACGGTCAGTGAAACTAGAGCGCTATAGCAAGTGATAGCTAACCCCAGCTGGTGAGATGGCCATGGCTACTTTTAGTCCTAAACTACAAATAGGCACTTTAATCAACTAAAGTTTAAAAAGCATAAAATGAAGGTGCAGTTTAACAGCTAGTCTGAACTTTTAAACCTTTTTTTCTTAACTGCACTGCTTTCGTACTTGTGGCTCTAAATGCTTAAAATGAAAGAGGACGCAGGACAACCACCTAACATTCTCCTGATGAAGTCACTTTGATGAAAAAGCCTATAAAACTGTATCTTTAACTGTTGCTTTAATGCCCCTGAAGTCTCATTATTTATCTCATTAGCAGCCCTCAGATCTTTATAAGAACATGCTGGAGGTCATTTGAATGTTGCCATTCTTTGTTTTTAATGGATCATTCTTTTAATTGGCGTACTGGGCTCTTGGATCTCTTTGTAAACCCATGCACATGCTTTATATATCAGAAATTACAAGATGCAACATAGAAACAAGGTCCTTTCCTCTCCTAATGTGCATTTTTTGTAAGAACCACCCACCGCCACCCCGTCAACCGCTGTGATGAAAGTTTTTTTACCAAGCACTCCACCCTTCCACACACATACATACACACTGCTGCTTCTGCCGCCGTGTTTGATCTAGCCTGTGGTGGTGCATTGTTGTTCTCTGTTCTTGGGGGCACAAACCCATAACCTTGGCCAAGATGAAAGGCCTGTGCTGTGCCCCCAGTAAAGGGCGCACTAATGGCCCCGGCCACTGCCTGCTGCGGGGATTCAACAAATACGCAGGCAGGCTTTCTGGAGCCACCCCCAGACAGAAGAGACTAAAGGAGGGGACCTAAAGAGCAGCTCCGACTCTGGCTGTGAGTCAGGGTGGTCTGGTGGGTGGAGAGCATGTCCTGGAACTGGAAAAGGTCACCAGAAGGTTTCATCCCAATAGAAAGCAACAAATTCCTGTCGGTTAACGTGTGATAACATTTTACCAACCAGGACTTTCCTTCTAGTGCCACCAGTATCTATTAGATGACCTGACTTAAAATTTAGCAGAGACATTTATAGTTCCAAGACAATAAATCCAAATGGATTAGATAATCCCCTCGACTTTTTTCATGTAGCTATGGTTTTGAGCATCAGTGCAGGGAATAACCCTCAAACTTGAATCTTTCCCTGAACGTGTTTGGCAAATTATCATTGGGAATAAGAAGAATATTGTTTCAATTGTTAAGTTTTTACAATGAGTAACAGTATGAGTTAAGAAAATGTAAAACATAAAAAAAAAACCCACCAAACTCATGAATGTAAAGGTTACTTCATGGCTCAGCAAACCCAAGCAGGCAGCAGCAGTCTGCAAGACTAATTCAGTTCAGTTTTACATTGAGAATAAATGACCCATACCTTCCTACTGATGATATATTGTTTTTGTCTAGTATACCGTGTGTCTGCCAAGCTTTGTATTCAAACTAAAACATCCCTTCCAGGTTGCGCTGTGCCTGGCCAGCTGAAGTGAAAGACACAGACAGGGGTATTTTTCCACAGAGGCCAAAGAGGCTGAAGACTGACAAACGCGATTTTTACTTACATGCGCGAGTGTACACGCTGGACTTCTCCCAAGTATAGCTTCAGGGAGGGAGTTGGAAGTAAGAATAATTGGCTGATGCTTTATGAGTCGTGCTTCTTTATTTTAGACCACACTCAGCTTCGCGATGTACCATCTCCTGTAATTTCTCTCCTCAGTCATCTTAGAGATGTAATATGATTAAGTCTGTGGCCTGTTTCCCTGAATGTATGAGTGGACTGAAGTCATGGCTGGGCAGTTCTGCTCCCTGGCCTTCAAATAGTAATAGTATCAGGAAATGAGCAAAAGAAATTGAGCGGTGATCCAAGTTGGCCTCATTTCTCCCCTTCGCTCTTTCTTTTGGCTTTCACAGTGATACTTATGGGCACTAGAGTTTCCAGTCTACCCATTAGATAGCTCATCATTGCCTGTCATGGCTCATCACGGCCTGTCTGGTCAGACCTCCTATTCTCTTAAGATATAAAAACAGCTGAAATGTCAGTTTCTACGATTTACGTAGAAAAATGAGCTTGATGTTAAACCAGGTTCTTGTCATAATGTTAAGTAACAGTGCACAATAATGAAGGTCATGTCATATGATGTACAGCTTATATCTTAGTCCTATCTCCTATCTCAGAGCTGTAATCTCTATAAATCCCTAATTCTTTGAGTAGTTTATAGATGCAACTACAAATCCAGAGCAGCCAACGTCCATAGAGCGTACTCTGGCTTTCCAGCTATGTTGCTCGGCTTTATCCTTAGATACGCCTCATCAACCACGTCTTTCCTGTAAAGATAAAGAATCAGTATGTCAGGTTGTAGCATTTCATTCACTATCTGTGATTGGACCGTAAGTCGCTGACCTTCATTCCTTGGAATTTCCCGTTCTCTGCCCTGTGTCATTTCTGTCATCTTGGTGTATTGATTTTGTTTAGTAAATGGTTCCGATTTGGCTTCAATCAGCAACATGAACGGAAGGAGTCAATAATCAGTCAAGCCATCCTACAGAGGGAATTATGTTATCAAAAGATTTTGTAGGTTTATCTAGAAAACAGATTTTTTTCTCTTAACATTTGCCCTAATTAATTTTTTTCCACTTCACAGCATATTTTTGATGCTGTCCAAAAAGCACCCGCTTTTGATAGTGCTCCTCAGAATGATAGCTCACTCTTTCCTCCTTCCTTTTTCAGGAGGACAACCATCCGCCAGAAGTAGAAAAAGAGGAACCACCTGTAGCTCCTGTCGTGGAGGAGAGCCAAAAGCCTACAGAGAACTTTCAAGAGCGGCGAGCCCTGGCCATCGCAGCTAAAGCCCAGGAGATAGAGAAGGTACTTTTCCATCACTTGGACATGTTAAACTTATGTTTTACTGACACCCTCTAACTGGGGAAAAGCTGAAAAGTATCTCTAGTAGCTAAGATTCTATATTGGTATTCACGTAGCGTAAAGAAAAAAAAAAAAAAGTCTAAATCCATATTGTGTGTAAGCCGCTCTCGGTTTTCCCTTTTTGGAAAAGTCACTGCGTTTACAATCCTCTCTTTTCAAGTTGGTAATTTGTAAGACTTCTCTATAAATGTCAACATCACAGTGTATGCGTGGGACACAGTGTACCTCTGGCACATGTTGCCGTACATATGGTGGCCTTGGGTTTTCTGACTCACACATGGGTTATTTTACTGGATAGGCATTACTGGAACAGTCACCTATTATATCCCTAACAAGGCAGGAAATTAACTTTTCTGTCCACCAGTCGCACTGGTGGGTACATCCTAAAATTTGCCATTACCAGCCAGATATTAGCTTTAGCACAGTATTTCAGTGATGGGTAATTAGTAGTTGCTTGCCAAAATCACCAGCATTTTCCTGGTGGCTCTTGTTAGTCTCTCATCCTGACTCCCCTGACTGCAACAACCGCTCATTATACTTAACAAACGCACACACACACTTAGACCCGCACGCAGGGATTTGGAAACATACATATATGAACATATAAACGAAAGCAGAAACACAAGCGCAGCTTAGACGGGATATAGGTTTGTGCGCACACTAAATTGGGAGGTCGACCATTTAACAGAGCTAAAACCACCCGAGGCTTGAGGCTCCAGCTCTGCGCAGTTATCTAATGAAGGCCATTCCTGCACCAGTGCGCGCTACCGCTGCTTTACTGGGACCATTAAACCTGAGCCAGCTCTGCCCCGGAGCACACACTGCGCTCTCACATTGAGCCGCGCCACAGAGCCTACAGGCTGTTATAACACTGATGCTGACGCTGCAGCTTCTGGCCTGTTTTATGGCCTGTCTATTTCTCCTCCATCTGTGTCTCCTCTTGTTCTATTTATAATACAAACTATACAACATTTAAGCTCTGTGGTGTGAGCTTTATTTCATTTTCAGGTATTATGAAAAGTTTAAATGTTGTCATTTCCAACGACGTTGTCTTCCAGCTCATATCCTCCTGTTATAATCTTCAAGTCTGGAAAGAGTATCACAGTTTAAAATGATAAACGAGCAGGAACAGCATATTCCATTTTCACATGGATATGAAGTTTCGTGTTTTCTTTCCAGGATTTCTCAATCTTAGATAACCATCCATTTCCCCTGACAAGCGCTTTTTCCTCCTCCTCTTCCCCTTTCTCTGGTTTGGTTTGGTTTGGTTTGGTTTTGTGAGATTCAGGAAACTCGCATCAAGACTGCTTGTGACTTGGCAGTCCTCACTCTGTCTGTCATGAAAGGCTGGATTGTTCAGTCATGTGTTTTGAGTGAGAAATTTAGCCAAAAGAAGATCAGAAAAATCTAATTTTGCCCGGCGTCTGCTTATTCTCTTCACAGTTCTAGAGGGGAAAAATATCTTGTTTGTTGTTAAACATTAAACCCCTACAGACCTTTTGTGAACACCCATCAAAAGCTGAGAGACTTGCCTTCTCATCATGGTTGGTCACCTGCCAAAGTGGCTCACAAAACAGAGCCTGGAAATTTTACAAGCACTTGTCTGGTGGCTGGTATTAATCCCCCCCATCATGCCCAGAACACACAGCTAATCACTCCGAAGTCCGACTTTCTTTTTTCAGCCTGCAGCATCACTTTCACACGTGCTCTGCAGAGTCACAGCAGTGTCTTTCTGTTGCAGTGGGCACTCGTGTTCAGCCACTTGTCAAGTGTCGGCCAGATGTTTTGGCTCCCTGCACCCAATCTGGTCTAGCCATCTCCTCTACACACACACACACACACAGGCACACACGGGCACACATGGGCACAAATGTGCTCCAGTCCAGTAGCTCCTCAAAAATCCCACCAACTGTCTCTAAAAATTTTCACAGATCACAAGCTGAGCTGAGGTTTCCATCGTCGACCAGACATCGTGCTGGGCCACGTTATACCGGCGCCTGGGGGGGTGTGTGTGTGTGTGTGTGTGTGTTTGTGTTTGTGTAGCTAAGCGAAGTTGGTCTGCTGAAATTCAACCTGAACCCCTTCTCATTGTCAGAGTTGACTTTGGCTGCAGTACAGACTAACTGCTTATAGTGAGTGACAGGGCATGAGAAGCAATAAAGGGTATTATGTTTTACTCCTTGTAGCCCAGGCTGTGATACAAAGGGAGTTTTATTTCATTTGTTGAGGAATATGAATATATTTGGCTGCAAGACAGACAAGTGAGACAGTTCCAGCCTCACTGTAGGTTTCCTTAATGTACAACGATGACAGAACCTGGACTCCTTCATTCTTCTGTTTCCCTCATTTCTGAAGCCAGGCCGGCACACACACTCACTCCTAACCTTCCAGTATAAAGTAATACTTCTCAGCCACTATCAGCGTGCAGTTTTAACAGCCTTTAGTTTAAAGAAGAATACATTTTTAGAAACGGGACAGTTCACGGGCGAACCACCCACCCACCCACCCACCCAACCACCCAACCACCCAAGAGTCAAGAACCGGTCCTTTCCTTCCTCATTGGATAACAAGGGAGGGATTTCAGGAAGTGCGTTTGAATACAGGATGTACATTTTAAGCACATTGTTATCTAGGAACAACTTTCCCTGTATTCATAGAAGTTGTTGTCAGCGCACTTGATTGGATACTTCCTCAGCTGATAATTAAATTCACTGTCAGCTGTTGAATAAGATAATGTTTAATGTATAATAATACATGAAAAGAAGATTTAAAAAAAGGACACTGCTTCGTTACTCCATTCAGCACAGTGAAGAGACTGGCAGCCATAAGTACATGATGTGTTCGTACTGATTGGCTGGTCTGACGCTGTTGTGTAACATCATCCACTTGATCATTTACTGTACACGGGGAATGTATAGGAGCACCCAGAGGAGATGCCGTCAGCATTGTTTCCTGAAATTGTTATGTTCCTAAACAAAAACACTTGTCGCAGAATTCTGTTGGTGTTTGCTGTAAGTCAAGAAGAAGACAATTAAGAAGCCTTATTACGGTCAGAAAAGCTGGTCTCAGTCCTTCACCGGGACTCCTCTTCAGTAAATTCTCATGTTTAGCAATATCATGAGGAAATGTTCTTTTTTGTTTAATGCAGATTTTGGAAAGCTGCCATCTGTTGTTACAAGTACATTAACTCTGTTTGACAGCAGATCTTTATTTGAGATCTCTCCTCTGCTTTGACCATGCTTTCCGCTCTAGGAACATTGTGACGAGCTATAAATAAGCCAGCGAGTTAGAACGCCCTGCAGCGCTGGAGCCACTGTTGGTATCCGGTGAATGACTGAAACTCACCCTTGCCTGGCCTAATTTTATATATACACACACACACACACATGCAAGTGCACGGGCTCATGCATAAACACACCCATCCGCGCACAGCCCTTGTCATTGGAAGTGCCCTTGTGTGTCTGCCTGCGGCGTCTAGACGTGATGCTTGGCGTCATAAGCAGCGGTGTTGGTCGCTCAACCCACTTCCACTGAGTCAGGGAAGAGTTGAATAAAAGGTGGAAGTTGTGTGACAGTGTGAGGTAAAGAGAGTCTGACAACAGATAAAAAAAAAAAAAAGAAAAAAAATGTGTCAAGAAATAGTGGAGGGACAGACGGAGAAAAAATGGAGTGGCATCCCTTTTTAGAAAAACAGTTGTAACTGTCCCTGAAGTTTATCAGTGTGGACTCGGGCATTTCTATAGAGAAATGGAGCCTCACGCTGTCCATTTAGAAAAGGTCCTCAGCTGTCATGCATTTGTAGTTATTTATATGTGGAGCATTTTATGCCTTTTATTCAATAGTGGGAAAATAACAGGAAATGAGGGTGAGAGATGAAACAACAGTTCCCGGCTGGGTTACAACTGATGTTGCAGTTCATGGTTGAAGTCTTAACCCATAAGCCACAGGTGCACTGTAAAGATGTCTATTTTCACAGTTGTGTAAATTTCATAGCCTCTGGGATCTTTTTAGGATCATACAATTTCCATATTTTTTTTTTTTTTTTCCCCATCCGACCATTTTCTGCCACTTATCTGGGTTCCGGCAGCAGGCGAGGCAAGTTAGTCCAGATGTCCCTCTCCTCAGCATCGTTTTCCAGCTCCTCCTGGGAGATCCCGAGACCAGATGAGAGATAATCTCTCCAGTGTGTCCTGGGTCTACCCAGAAAACCTATTTTTTTTTCCGTGGTCAGTTGACAAAATATTTAGTGGCAACAGTTTTCATCGATAATTCATAGAAAACAAGCTATTCACATTTGAGAGGCTGGAACCATGGAATTTATGGCTTTCTGTTATTAAATAATTGCATATCTTTGTATTCAGGACTAATGCCTGGCATTTTTTAAGACCAAAAGATTAATAAAGAAAATAATTGGCAGATTAACTGATAATGAAAACAATCATTAGCTGCAGTCCTACTTTTCTGAATTGCTTTGTCATCGCTCAGGGGTATTTTATATTCCTGATAATCCCCCATGAAGTGCTGCTTTACGATTACTTTGCTACTACTGTTACTTCATTTTTAAAGCCCTGAGGGGAACAAGTATTTAACGGGGATTTAGGCACAGGATCTGTTTCAGTTTCTTGTGTACGGTCGTCTATCCACAGCATGTCTGGAGCATTACCAGATGATTTTGACTTTTCCCCTCGGAAATGTCATTGTCAGCTCACGTGTGGGATCATGAGTTTAAAACTAACCTGTTTTCGGTATTTTGCAAATCGAACCACTTTGTGAGGAAGCAGCGAGCTCCCTCCATTGTTTTATGAGACATTTGAGGCTCGGTGTGAAATAGCAGCTTCCTAACAAGACTCCAGCACCTCTTCCTCATTGTCCCTCTAACACCTATTAAATGCCTCTGAGCCTCTATTAAAGTGGGGGTTTTATTGCATCTTGGGCTACCCTGTCCTATATAAAGAGCGCTCATTAAACTTGAGAGGATAAGTGTTTATCTTTTGACACTACATGATGTGGGTTAACACTAGAGTGATCAGCTCAGGCTCAGTGACACTGGAGTATTTACACCTAGGCGACAGGTAGAACAGGAAGGAAGCAACTTTTCATCTCCTAATTGAGACCTTTTCTCTCATAGCTCATAACCCTCTGCCTGTCTACACTTTGTAAACCTAAATCTACATACAGTTGGGTGTAAATGTGTCTCTGGGAAAGTTTTCACACTGTTTGTGTGCATAAAGCAGAAATTTTTTTTTTATTTAAACTCATTTTCCTGTCTATGCCCAGGTGTACCGTCAGGACTGCGAGACGTTTGGCATGGTTGTGAAGATGCTGGTGGCCAAAGACCCCAACCTGGAGAAGCAGCTGCAGGTTCCTCTCAGGGAGAACCTGGGGGAGATCCGCGAGCGTTGCCTGGAGGACCTGAAACACTTCATCAGCGAGCTGGATGAGGCGATCCGGCAGCCATAACCCCTCCGTCTGTGACTCAACCGCTCCATCTACATCCCTGATGGGTGGGTGGGTGGGGGGCAGGGGAGGGTCATAAACTTTCAAAGACGGCAGTGAATCACAGCTCATCTTACTGACACATTGGCCTCATCTGCTTCATTAGATTGTGAGTCTGATCATGGGAGGAATGACTGCTGAACGTGATGAATATCTTGGATACATTGTGGATTGCCGGAATGAAGCTACTCTACAGCACATCAACCTGAAGAACAACTTGGCATGAAGAGAGGGATGCCGTGTTGCACATGTGTATGTAGGGATGAACAGTGTTAGTTTTGAAAAAAAGAATTTTTACTTTCGAGTTACGTGTTGAAAGTTGTTAATTGTAAAATATTATTGACAGTTGTTTTTCTGTAAAATGTTGGCAAAAAATACATTTTGTCTATTTAAAAAGCTACTACTCTCACATCACATGGAAAATGGTTGTCATTGTTTGTTTAACCTTTTTTGATAAAAAAAAAAAAAAAAAAGTTGACAGTCGGCATGAAAGAAATACCGCGTGAGACGGTGGTTTGTTTTGTAGTATTTTCATGTAAATTTGTATTTTGTAGCAGTCAGATGACTTGGTGCTGCTAAATTTATAACAGTTCAATATTGTATAAATTTGTACTGTCTAGAAATGCCATTTCAGTTTTCATTGTGTTATCATATTTTGCTTTTCAAACTTTATAACGCTCATAAAAAGCTGCACAAAGCTTGGTTATTTTGATTAAATGGAGACAAAGCTTTGCACAAACTGAAATGTCTCTGAAGGTTGTAGTAAACATGATTTCTGTTAACGTGAAAGTCATTGTGATCTATTAACACAAGTTGCATATTTTAAAATATTGGCATCACAGACCTAAGTTACTGGCATTGCATATATCAATGAGACATTTATTTAGAAAAACACACACGTACAATCTGAAGGTAACAAAATGTAATTTGTAAATGAAATTTCAAAATTCCAGCAAACAAAACAATCACTCTTGAAACTTTGGCAAAAAAAATATTTATTACAAGCACCTTTACATCACAAAGCATTTAGCTGGTTATGTCTGAGCAAGGGTAGTGAACAGTTGGGCTGAGTATGGAAAATGCGGGTGTTAACTGCCATTCTCTTTATATTTTGTACACCAATAGTGAGCATTGTGAAATATATGTTAAAATAGACATTGTTACTGAGTAACATGGCACTTTACTGTGAAGAACGCACTTTATGAAGTGCCACGTTCTTTGTTTGTCATGAAATATTAAGGAGGTCTGTTTGTTTACCATTACAACTGCTATTTTTTATATCATACACTTCAAAAGAAACAATTCTTTAAACCGAGGATATAAAAATACCGGTATTAAAATCTTAACTTAGTATATACATTATCATTTGTACTATTATGCATTAAATAATTATTTGGTTAGTTTCTGTTTTCTACTTTTTCAATCTCTGTGTACAATAGTGTTGCCATTTTAATGCACACAAAGATATTGCTGCAAACTTTTAAGTGAACATTTAAAAACAACAACTTAATGGCAAATGCTGAAATGAAAGAAAAAGTTTGATGTCTCGACTCTGCCAAACTGCTTAATTTCTGTCGAAAAAAAGGCTTCCAAATTTACCAGTCTGTGTCATACTAGTGCTAAAATTCAAATAGACCCAGTATGTAGGCCAAATTTGCAAAATTGATTTTCTGACTATGTTGCACAGATCTGGTCTTTCCTTTGCTGAACAGTTATACTTAAATATTTCTCCTTTCAGTAGATTTTGACCTAAAATGATATGCATCTTGACATATGGCCATGCACCTTCTATTAGCACATAATAAACAGTTTGTGCACATGCGTTTGTTTTAAATTGCCTTGATCTGTGTAAACCATCAGAAAATCTGACTGTATTGCTTAGTGTAGTGCAGATTATAATGTAAATACACTTTGAACTGTTAAGAGATGATGCAGTTTTTGGAGCGGTGGCTCTTTCTGCGACCAGTCTGTGAACCATGAATCTGGGAAGACAGGGCGGTAACCCTTGTTGGGTAGTCCTCAGCGTAGTAGCGCCCAGCAGCTCGAGGCTGAGGGATCGGCTGCCCCAGGAAATAGCCCTCCTCCTCGGAGTCTGATGATGAGGAAGAGCAAGTAGAGCACCAGTCATCCTCATCTCTGTAGAGACCCATGAAATTCTCAACCCGTGGGTCTCCTTGTGTTGAGCCCTGAAGCATATAGTCAGATCGAGTTTGGGAGTAGGCCAGGGGCAGCCTGCGTGAGGGATGCTGTAAGAGCATGCCACCACATGAAGGGTTTACCAGACCCTGCTGCTGTGGCTCATATGGCCTCTGTGCTTTCTCCAAGGGCACCATGTGAAGGGCGTTGTCTGAGCGGGTTTTACGACTCCTGTGGTGTCGGCCTTGCCGGTGGTGATGCTGCCTGCTGCGCCCATGGTGGCTTGTTGGGCGGCTTCTTTCTCGGCCCATCTCATCTGGGCAGTACGCCCTCCGCTGTGGCTTCTCACTCATGGGGTGCTTTCTTATACTGACATCAAACCCATCATTATATCCATTGTCCACAGTGTCGTCGGAGAACTTGACCATCTGAGGAGGCCTGGATTGGGACTTGCTTCTCCTCAGAGCTGGGGCATGGACAAAGGAGGGAGGGAGGCCTTCAGAATGCGGGGACAATGAGAGAAGTCCTCCTGGTGTGCCTCCCCTCATTGCCAATGCTACCTCCTCCGCCTCCGCGTCTCCCTTCTCCATATTAAGGTTCAGTGAGTTGGTACTCTGGTGATGATGAGATGAATTAAAGGTCCCCATGTTACTCATCTTCTCACAGTCATCTGCCACCGAGGGATCCTGCATAGCAAGGGTGTAGACTATAGGTCTATCCCTGCCATCTCCATCCACTGACGCGCCTAGAAAGAGTGAGAAGGAAAGAAACATTTTGAAAAGATGTTCGACATAAAAAGACTGCACAAGTTTTACCGAATCCATCTAAAGAGTAGTCTCCTTACCAGTGATGTTTGAGAGTGCCAGGGAGTCCATGGAGTCTCCAACACCCTGCTCGACCTTCCTCAGCTCATCAGCGATACACTCAAGGGAGTCTTCATACCACTGCCTTGTGTCTGGCCAAAAGGCCTGTCTTCCTGTGCCAGATTGGTCCTGATCCTGATCCAATTCCAGCTCTTGGATCTTTCGGGCACTGGCAGGACCTGGATGACTCCCATAAGCAGAGTCTCCCAACCCATCCTGGGACTGGGCCCAATACATTTCAGGCAGGTGCTTCTTGCTCATCAGTCCAGGGCTAAGGCTGTTGGTTCGGGACTGATTGGAAGCCTGGCTTTGGGTGGGGCTGGCAGGGGTGGGAGAGGAGGCGGTAACCCCCATGGATATAGTATCAGGCTTAAGCCAGGGATCAGAGACACTTATGAGCCCATTTCTATCACTGCTGGGGCTGGGAGATTTTAGGGATGGCTGCTGAAGTTGATGTAACATCCCGCGGTCACCAAACTTGAGCAGGAGCTGAGTCATATAGTCTTCATGCTGGGCCCACTCTTCTGGATCCTCCTCTGCACAGGCATCCTGCTCCTCCCGCTCCCTCCAGAACCTCTCCTCCTCCATGCCAAGACGGGCCAGCTTCCGCCCTACGATATCAATGTCACCATCAGCATCTCCATCACCCTCGCTGTACTCAAATGAGGGGACGGTGGCAGGAGGATTAAACAGTTGTGACTGTCTCCACTGTTCGGCAGGCTTGCTGCTTTTGCCCATGCGGACACTGCGTCGTGATTCCCTTGAGCGGGCAGACTGGAAGGCAGAATCAGATGAGTCGGAGGCATGGATATCCTCTCCCTGGCTACAGGCCTTTGAGCAATAGATGCGACCCTGCTTTGGAAGGAAGGGGCAGCCCAGCAAGGAGGTCTTGCACTGGGCACAGCAGAAGCACTGGTCTGTGGCATGCCAGTGTACACCTTCGTAGGTCATTTGGGCATGGTCAACACCTAAAAGATCATGAGATGAAGAGGGGAATAGCCTTAGGTATAGCACTTTCACACATCAGCAGAATCCTGTGCTCAATCTTGGCTATTAAAAGTTTAGTCCTTCTTGCACCTCACAAATATAACTCACCAATGTTTTCACCACAGGCCTCGCAGTACTCTGCATACAGTGACTCGAAGCAGCCACAGCAGTAGGGCCGGCCATCTTTCATGATGTAGCGCTGCCCACCTAGCATTATCTCGCACTCGAAACAAGCGAAGTGCTTCATATGCCAGTGACGACCCTCGGCCTCGGTGCACTCATCCGCAAAGATGATCTGAGGGAAAACATACATTCTGCTGTTAGTTCTGTTGAGCTATGAACACTTTGCCATTGCCATTACTACTACTACTTACTGCCACTTACCTCGTCACAAGAAGAGCACCGTGGTTTGAGAAGCTCAGCGTGGTGTCTTCCACAGAGGATCTTGCCATTTTGGTAGAAATATATCAGATCCACCAGCAGTTCTTGACACGTGGCACACACGAAGCATGCTGGGTGCCAGCAGGGGCTCGGACCTGCTCTGGAGGCAAAAATTGCCATCTCCCCTCCGTTGATGCCTCCGCCACACTGACAATCAGACACAAACAACAGATGATCTGTGAGATTTATATTTCAGGTATCTTGTTGCACCAATTGCAATGGGCTACAATGAAGAGTGGGGATTCAAATGGGTAGAGCACATTCATCATCGAGTATGTAATCTAAATCTGGTGATAAGTATGCTACCTTGAGACAAACGCATTTGGGAGTGACATTTCAAAATAGATGTCACACAGTTGATGCCTGTGACACATGAGGAATGCAACATAAACCAAAGAGATATTATGGAGATAACTATTCAAAATATGCGCCAAAAGGAATATGATCCTTTCAAAACACATCAGTGAACCCTACAGTGATGACAATCACAGAAACGCAGTTGATGACACAGGCACAATGCCATTTTATCTTTTCACTGCAACAAAAACAGTTTGATTTCACTTGTGATGACCCCACCCACTCTTTTCCTGAGTAGAACTCTTTATATTAACATGGGGATAGATGCACAATAACAATTTTAAAGTGAATGGATAAATTCAAAAACACAGCATAACTATGTTACCAAAAAAGATTATGGGCCAAACGCCAATCTAAATTAAAAATACTTAATTTTCTCTCTCTGATTCCATCGGTGGCTGTTTCACTTTGGTATAACAGTCATCAGTTATTAATTTCGTGTGGCTAAGGAAATGGCCAGCATTTTTGTCCTTGACGCTTCAACTGAATACACTGGCCTTGGTCCTGAGTCGAAATATCGTATGACTCTACAGAGATTGTGCGATCAAAGCGTGTCTCAACGTGCAATCACGAGTCTTTATATAACCCAGCGCAGCTATGAGACACCCACAGGCAGCTAGGGGATAGCATGCCCAGCTGTTAACCATTATTACCAGGGTGGACAGACAAGGGCCTTGGATATGAAGGTGTTGTGTGTCCCTGGGAGTTACGGCACCAGGAAACCAGAGTCTGACAAAGTGTGTGTGAACGTGTGTAAATGTCTTCACAATATATCTTTTTGACAACATGAGTATGTGTGGAATGTTTGCGCGAGTGTATGAATGTGCACATGTTTGTAGGTGTGTGCGTGTGTATGTATGAGCGAGTGTGTGGTTTCAGAATGTGTGTGCGTGTCCATTGGTGTGTGACCTTGTATCCCTGTGTTAGCATCTGTGTTTGAGTGGTGACAGGCTTCATCTGCCTGTCTGGGGGAATTAACATGCCCGGCCCGCTTTCACCGGATGCCTGGAAGAGGATGTGGTTTACTCACTGGTCAGGGGTGAATTTGCCAGAAGCCATATAACACTAATATTTATTTTTGTTGCATCTAAAGGAAGTTTTTCAGAAATATGATCAAGGTCAGCTTGGATGGCACTGCACGTTTTGTTTAAAACGCCATCACCAAATCAAAAGTAGGTCAGATTTTAGGATTCTTTCCCATGTTGCGTTTGTGCATTACTCACTATGACTTAAAGCAGAATGTCAAAATGGAGTCCAGGTGTCTCTCTTTTCCAAGAAGCCCAAAATGAGTTTGAAAAAATAGCACACATCTCCAAAAACATGTTGCCCTGTCCACAGAAACTTGCTTACTCCCTTCAAGAAAGTCTTCAAACCAGCATGTACCTGCATGTAATTATACCAATAGATGAGGAATGATCTGCAACATACTGTGGCTTGTTTGGAAAAAGTAGAATTTTAAGACTCTACACAAGAATTACTTATTAACCCCTGCAAGTTTTTGAAGTCTGTCATGCTGAGCCATAGATTGGTGGCAGGAAATTGGCCGGATTCCTCATGAGGAACTGGCTTCTCTGCTCGGCTTGAGCATGAGCCTCCTCAATTTCCCCGCTTCCTCTCTCGCCTTAATGAGGACGTTTATGTCCGTGATTAAAACCATTGCATTAGCCAATCAGGAGTGTGCCTCGGGGTACCATGTGTTGAGATTGGACAGTGGGTGTTAGCTGTTTGTGATATAAATAACTTCAGACCCACCAGTTGGTTTCCTAGCTTACCTTATGGCAGAATGAGCACTAAATGACGCAAGTGGTTTTAGTCTATGTGTGTGTGTGTGTGTGTGTGTGTGTGTGTTCGCTCCTGGGTATCCATGTGTGACACCTACGTTTTCACAGCGGGTGTGTTGCAGAGCTCGGGGCAGGATCTTGGGTGTTCCTCTCCCCAGTGCCTCCCTCTTCCTCTGGGCACTGAACATGTGGAGCTCCCTCTTTTCCTCCTCAGTCAGAGTGTGGCAGTAACGCACCTGTTTTAAAAAAAAAAAAAAAAAAAAGACAGATGAGTTGACAGAATAAAAGAACAAGGGGGGTCAATGTAAGGCTAAAAGGGGGAAGCCAGTTAAGAGGAGAAAGCAAAATAGCACTTAAAAACATCCAGTCATTACTGCTTTCATCTTTTGCATGCAACACTGGGGAAGTGTATCACATGAAGTCCATATATGGCTGGAAAAGGGTTTAATTAAAGTCAATTCCCCTCAAGGCTGCGTTGAAAGGATGGCGTGAGTGATACACAAACCCTTCCTCTGTGTTTAGAGATGGTGATGAAGGCCCCAGATAAAAGACCAAGACTATCCTAACAACCAGCTCAGTTGTTCTCTAAACAACAGTAAACGATGCCGGCGTGTGAGCACTCTCTACACACACACACACACACTTGCCGTCTCTCCTTTTCACACACACATACACACACAGAGAGAGAGAGAGAGAATGCTTATCCCTCCTAACCACTGTTACGCAAGGAATCTGCCGGCAGTTTGTTTCTTCAACCACCAGGTCTGCCGACAAACATCATAAAACTGCTCTATCAAACACTGTGTGTGTGTGTGTGTGTGTGTGTGTTTGTATGTGTGTCGAGTGTACCTATTGTACCTTCCATGTGTGCATACAGAGACCACCTCCGTCAGACAGTAGCCCCCCTGTCCCTCCTCTCGGGTGATAACCCCTCCACCATATCTCCTAATGTAAACTCTATTAACACAGATGTGAAAGGAGTGCTGGTTTACACACCATAAAGCTAGTATACAGAAGACGCTGGCATGTGCTTTATTGTCACAGGAGGTTTTTCTTTTTTTTTTTTGTCAAACGGTTGAGAGAATGTGTCCATTGTTTTAGTTTTACTATAAAACCTGGCATGATTGTCTCAGCTTTACTCAGCTGCTGGCTTTAGTTTTGTTGGGGGTGGGTATCATTTAAAAGTCATTCTTGCCATTAGAATCCAACACTAATATCAAATACCAAAACTATATGGCCCTTTTTTTAAAACTTGCTTTTCATTTAACAAATACATTAAATTTAATGTTATATGTTTTTAAATAGAAGCAGCACTACAAGAACTTCTCCAATTACCTGTTTTTCCCCCCACAGGAGCCACAACTTTCAGTATAGTTTTATACTTTGTGCTACGGAAACATTTCAGTTTGATTCTAAGTCGAGTTTACTTTGTTATAAGCAGGACTATGTCCCTTATGAAAAAAGAAGTAAAACATTGTTCTTACAATTAAAAGTGGTATTCATTGCTCAATGCAAAGCACTCAGGGGTTGTGCTGCTGCAGCATTACTTAGCTAATGTTAGCTAACTCTAGCTAGCCGTTGCTATACAACGGATAATAAGTAGTCAGTTCACTGACTTTATGGCTTGACTTTACTTGTGCTACTGTTACGTAAAGTTTTAACATTTAAGTATCATTCTGTAATTGTCACTTGTTTGTTGTTTAATGCTCTTTTTGTGGTTATGTAAAGATTGTAAGTTGCTAATATCGTTGGTGTTGACGTCTTTTTTTTTTTTTTTTCACATGTGGATCAAAAGCAGCAACTCCTGCGTCACTCTTTGCTGCAGACCTTCCCTTTCGCCCGTTCTCACACACCCTGTCATCTCATTATCTCTACCTCGTTGTCATGCGGCGGCAGCTGGTAGAGGAGCTGTCGAATCCTGTGCTTTTCTCCGGGGCTGTTGACGTACGGCACCCTGTCCTCTGGTAGACAGGAGAAATACATCTGGACCTGCAGATGGAGACGCATGAATGAACTTCAGCAGACAGAGAGCAGTGAAATCTTGTCAACCTACTAGTAGTTTCGTTCACTTGCTTCAAGCACAATTTGAATTTAATGCTTAAGAAGACATTTCTTACAGTGTGGATGGAGGAAGAAACAGGTATTGGATAAATGGCCCGATTCTCATGATGTAGCATTTTACAACTTAGTTTAATATGACTCTTTATTGTGATTTAGTTTTTCTTGTATGTTCCTTTAGACCACATAAATGAGTGAGACATTTGCAGCCACGAGGTCAACAGTGTTATCAGTCTGCTTGAGGGGAAGGGAGGAGGGGAGGAAGGGGAAAGTCCAGAGGAGAGGAGAGAAAGCACGGATATCAGTCAAGAGGGACTGCTGCCATGTGTGTTCTTATTTTGTGACACTGTGGGGGGAAACATGTCAATCTCCATCCAGTCACAGGCGCCTGAGTCTGGGACCAGACCTGGGACTGGAAATGTTAATGTTTGCCTAGGCTAATTCCCCCAGACAGGAGAAACGGAAAGGAGACATTCAGTTTGTCAGCCCATGAAAAAATGTGTGGAAAAAAAAACAACATTCATTTGCAACTGAGATGATCTGAACATGTGTATCTTAAATAAACGCTAATGAATGTGAAAAACAAATCCATAGCCAGATGTTGAGCTTCGGCATGTGGTACTGCTAATCCGCTAGAATGGCATAGACAAGAGAATGTCTGCACGCATAACCTTATTTGAACTAAAGCCCTAATGCTGTTAGCATACAGGTTTATAGTGTCATCCTGTGAAGGAAAATTCCACCTCCGGATACACCAAACTGTAATGTGCAATGAATGTGTTATTTTGTGCTGGGTTTTTACATTTCTACCCTGCCTACAACTTTAAATTTTTCCTTTCCTTCTCATACAGAAAAGAAAAAGCGTTGAGGTCCTACCTGCTCAGGCCTCAGTCCCGGTGGCACCCACGCATACTCCTCCAGTGCACATCCAGAGTCGTCATCTGAGGTGGAGCTCCTCTGAAAGCCCACGGATATCTTCCCCATCTTTCCCCCAGTACGAGCTTCCATGTCCGCACCTCGAGGTGAAGGACGCTCCCCTCTCTCGCTGCGCTCCAGATTCATCACACACGAGCGCTGTAAACAAAATGGGAGGATTTAGGAATCACATTTACAGAAGTCTACCTTTCTTTTTTTTTGCTTTTTGCTTAATATGTTTTCTTAATTATACCCAAAGCTCTGGTTTTTACCTTCTGCACTTCTTGTCACTGATTGGCTGGGATACTGCTGATCTAGGATTTTTGTAAATACCTCTGCACTTACTTTTAAATCCTCTATTTCTCAACAAGATAATTGTTTTTATCCCAGCAGTGACTTAGCAGTTCTACAAATCAGCTTGAAAAAAAAAAAAAAATAGGAGGAGCAGACTGTTCCTTTTAAAAAGAGGAAAAGGGGGAGAAAGAGACAACCTCTCCATACCACTGCCATCCTTTCACAATTCAAACCTCTTGAGTCACATTCAAGAATGTTTATGTTATTTTCCATCCCATTAAGGCTCTATGTCATACTTCCTTTGTTTATCCATTACAAAGTCATTCTTGATAAGGTGCCCGAAACAGTGTTTGTCCACCTTCAAAGGGGACGTCAGACAAATTTAGGATGATACATAATGGAAAATTATACAAGGCTTTTTCCAGTACGGTGCACTCATTCAACCAGACTCTTGCCTTATTGGGTATATCTCACATTTTAGGAAACAGAATAGAACATTGTTGGGTACAGGAGCTTGAAAGATGTATTTCTACTTAGACCCCATTATTTGGAGTAGTGTACAGATTTGTGTATTTAATGCCTCATCAAATACATTTAGACAGTTCTTTTAAACTGAGACTGTAAGGCTTTGACATAACATGATACAACAGGAATTTCCAGCTGTTCCCCGACCAAACATCTGTTGCTCTTATCCCCTTGCGCTGCAAAGTACTGAACGTTGTGAAACACATGTAACCGGGACAGAGATTTGCAGCTACGTCCAGGAAGTCGCCATTGCATAAATGTTCAACTGTGATCTTGAAAATGCAAAAAAAAAAAAAAGCGGTGACAATACTTACAAAAATCTTACAAATGATTTAGTGCATTCGTTGTCTCAGTCTGCAGCGTGAATCTACTTTCATCAGCATTTAAAAACAAGCTTATTTCCCCCCTTCCTCTTTACAGGATGATAACAGTTGGACTGTTACATGAATAGGGATTAATCAGTCTCGTGGTTGTGTGCCTTCCGCCTTCAGCAGTAGCCCTCTTATCTCAGCAGCCATGTTCTTCAGAGCCTTCTCAGCCTGATAACAGTGCTTTAGTCTCAAGGTGTTGAAAAAGCCACTTGTGATTTGCCCTGCTCAGCTCTGCCTCTTTGACATGCAAATCTGGACCAGAATAGAACTTGTTTGGGTGAAAACAGTCAGAAACTTCACACAGGCCCCCTTTTTTTTTTTAAAAAAAACTGTAAGCAGGTCTGAAAAGCAGCACTATCAGGGACATTAAGGCATTAATGGCTTCTATTGACCAATCATTATGCCTGTTACCTGAATCCAGAGCATTTTCATTTCAAATCATGCTTGTTCCAGATGATAGCCAGTTACTGAGGGTCTGTATGAACATGACTGGAGTGGGGGACCCAAATTGCACACTAGAACTGCAAGGAGCAATTTCCAGCATGATGGTAAACATAACAAATGGTGCTGCCTGTTTACCGAGCACTCTAGAGTCTCTACTTTTGAACCAAGAGCTACTAAATAAACCGTTAGCACTGTCGATGAATACGCAACAGATACACACGTTTTTCATGTGATTATTTTATACAGTAAATTTTGCAAGAAAAAGGTTTAAATAAAATGTCTTCCAAACATCTGACACAAAATATACATAATCTTCCCTCTTTTCCCACCCCACCGTCCCCCTAATTATTGTTGTACAGTCACTTATCAGATAAAATAAGCTGTAAATGAAAAACTGATATCCTTGTTATGTCTGTGGTGAAGTTTATAGTAGCACTTTGACACCGCTTTTAAGTCATAAATTAGTGCCATAAGAAAATGCGATAATGTACTGATGCCCTAAAGTAATGATTTTCTTGCTTGTGCCCCCTCCAGAGGTCAAAGGTCAGCCGCAACTAAACCCACAATCCAAACGCTCGTAGAAATGTCAACCGTCTGCTCAGCTGACCCTCCAGGCTTCCCACACCTCACCACGTAGTCAACCCCCAGAAACAAGCGAGGGGAAATATTAGCATTCTGATTAGCATACAGTTGAATGAAGCCCAGGGCCTCAAAACACTGAATATACAGATTAGAAATGCTGTTAAAAGTCAAACCAAAGCTCTTATCACGGGACAAAAGGGTATTTGACTGTTGCTTTGTTCTTCAGTGACTAATCTATCAGGTTTTATGGTAGGACAGATAATGTTATCACTCACTAGCTTCTCTTTACCTGTTCTGCTTTATCTCACCTAACCTTGTTAAGACCCGTAAGCTGTGCAATTAGATGAACCCAGTTTCTATTTTTTTTCCTCAGAGATTATTTTGTTCACCCATATCAAAGACATTTTTGTGCAGCTTACGGTTTAGGAGTAGTAATGTTCCTTTTTGTCTGATAACGTGGGTACAGGTTTGGTTTGCAGCTAAATTTATACATGACATCTGTTAATAGACAGATGTGGGCTCAGTGTGTGACATCCACAGCATCGGGCCTCATCACTATGTCCCATTTAACATGTTTAAAAAGGCATGTGCCTAAATAAAATCAAATCTGGGCAAGTTATTGCAGCTGTAATGATCAATTTGTCCACGAAATAAGTGAAAAACGTCACCTTCATAACTTCTCAGACGATACAAATTCTAATGGACTTGTTTTGTCCAACCAATAGTTCGAAATCACAAAGGTACTCAGTTTACTGTGTGACAAAGTGAAGCAGCAGATCCTCCCTTAAAAGAAGCTGAAATGTTTGGCTTTTTTGCTTGAAAAATTACAAAAATCATTATTCAATTGTCCAAATACTCAGTCAACTGATTGATTAATTGGCTAATCGATCCAGCTCCGGTTTGGTATCCTTTAAGGACTGCTGTCTTCCTCTGCCCTTCAGCTCTCTGGACTCTCATCCCACAGCTTATGGGGAAAAGGTGACTGCAGATTCCTGAGCCAACATACACAGCAACTCACATTTCACCATGTCACCTCTTGGCAATAACACAATGGCTTTCTTTGTCAAAAACAAAATGTCCACCTATCCCTCCTCCAAACTTCAGCCACAGTGGAGATGTGACAGATTGAGGCTCAGGGAGTTAAAAAAGAAACTTTTCTTTTTTTCTTTTTTTTTTTTCCAAAGACATAGGGTCTGTGTTAAGACGGCCAGATGCAGCCAGCTAACGATTAAATGCGTGCTCCTCCACTGCTTAACTGACACTTCTTAAAGAGGCTCTCCTTCACTGAGGATTTAGCAAGTCAAACACGTGTTAAATTCAAATGAATACAACCCCAGGGTAAACTGAAGGAATACTTCCTGTTTTATGGAGAAGTATGATTTTTACAGTTTGAGCCAAAGTGTATAATATGTCTCAGTGAGTAGATATTTATTAAAAACTGGTGCATTAGTTGCAGCTTTAATTACCTGCTGCAAATTTAGGGGGGCAGATTTAGAGATATTAAGTACTTATTGGAACCAACAACACAGTTAAAAAGTCTATTTTTCTTGAACATGATGGGATTTACTTTAGAAAAACCATTAAATTGTGGAGTTCAAAGGCCGAGGTCATTGCTCTTTGACTGCTGAAGAGTGTTATTTTAAGGCCAAATGGGTTTCAGGGGGTGCACAGGAGACTTAACACAGCTGGCGTGAGACCACCTGCACACACACACACACAACACACACACACTCACTTCACTGCTGTCTACGCACACGAACACAAGATGCAAGACCTGGATATACATCACGAATAGGGCAATACACAAATGCAGGATCACCTCTCAGACAGTCTGCTCAGCTCAGCCATTCATTCTCTTCAACTCTTTTCCAATGCTTTCAACCAAGGAAATCTCCCACAATTCCACTGCAATACCTCTTCATCAACACATCTAAGTAATGGCGGAACTTAGGTGCAAGCATTTTCCAAAGTGGAGCTGCAAAAGTGCTCCTCATTCAACAAAGTCTTTCTGCATGTACAGGTTTACTCATCCATGTTCCTCTTACCTCCAGGAAAAGCATCTCTCTTTCCACCTCCACATAAAGCTCTCATTCACTTCCACAATGCCCCGGCCACGCAGCGCTCCAGCTACATGTCTGCGGCGTCGAGCTCAACGGATCCACGTTCTAAATCAGATCCAGATCCCACTCAGTCGAGATGTATTCCCCCCCACCCCCTGACAAGTCAGCCTTTTGAAAGTCACTCGCGGTGAGGGGAGTCTGAGAGACGCGACTCTCACTCACTGCGCAGCTGGGGAGCAACTCACTTGGCCATCCAAAATTTCCAAGGTCCAAAGAGCAAGGAGGGAGGGCAAGAGAGGTGACGTCTCTATCTGGAGTGTCTGTGATCCCTCTGAGTGAGTGGGAGTGAGTGGATGAGTGTCTGTGTGTGAGTGTTCTCTTGGGGGCAGCCAAGCCTTGTCGGCCCCTCCCTCATTCCTCCCCTCCAGAGCAAATCACCCTGCACTTCAATCTCACACACACACACACACACCCCCCATCTCTATCCCTATCTTACCCCTCCCTCCACCAGAGTGACATCAAGCCCTCCACTCCGTCCCCCGACCTGGCCGCAGGATTCCTGAGAGCCAGATGACATGTCCACTCAACTCTCACACTCTCTTTGTCTCTCTTTTTTATGTCTTATTCTTCCTTCCTCAAGATTTTTTGTCAGCATTCTTTTCTGAAGCAGTGTAAAAAAAAAATTTTTTTTTTTTAAAAAGCATACATTAATTTGTCATTATTTTTATTCCCAGTTTAATTCTGATCAACTCCACTCCTCTTTATCTCCCACCAAGACAAAATGTCTATTTATAATACAAGCAACTAAACATTCTCACTCTCCCTGTCATTAAATGGTTCCTGAGGTCATCCAGTCTGCTGCATCTCGTGTCATTTGCTCTACTAATGTCACAATAATTTGTACTCGGCTGTTAATTAGGTTCCGTGGCGGTTAAACGCAAATGTTCTTGCCCAGCTGCTTCATTATCTCAACAACACTGATCATTTGTGCACACATTTTGGGAAAAAAATCAGAGCACTTAAGGGGTTTAATCATAAGTGCTATTTGATGAAAATGAAACCTCATTTTACAAAACGACTGATGAGTCATTGCTGAGCAACCAGAGTGACTTCTCCCTTTTTTTTTTATAAAGGACATTAGCTTACTCAAACTTGTGACAACAGCTTTTTTTAGGCACTTTGGGGCAGAAAGCAGCTATAAACACAACACTGGCATACAGTATTATCACTTTGAGCTGATACTGTGAGCTATTTGTCATGTTCGTGTTCACCTTTACTCTCCTTTTAGCTCTGTTTTGCTCTCCACCACCTCCTGGGGAAGCTTGGCTATATTCACCAGCTTGTTACTAACTTTGTCTGTCTGCTGTTTGCTGGTGGTTTTCTCTGAGAACAGCTGCGTGCTGCAGCTGAAAATTATGCTACTGAGACCCAAAACAATAGTTACAGGTCAGAAAACCAAAACAATGAGCTAAAAGATGCTAAAAAGCTTCTATAAAGTTGAGCTAGGTTGATAATTCTCTGTGGGTTCATTACTGTGAGCGATCGTTTTCACATACAAGTAGTCATGTGATCCATTGTTAATATAAAAATACTGTGCAGGTTTAAGTCTTTGTTTGCCAACATATTAAAACTTGAACAAACTGGATTCCCGATGCCGGAGGCAATGGATCATTTCAAAGCAGCAAATCATTTTTCTTTCCAAAATCCGACTCCCCATGTCTTGTTGGTGTTCTTCTGGTTAAATATTGACTATGCTTCCTCCTGAGTCAACCTCATCCATCTCAGGAAATTCTCACGCAGGGGACCTGTTTGCTCACCCCGTCACTGATGCTGCCGCCACCCCCCCCACCCCCCTTCCTATTTTGGAGATCTGAATGAGTGCGAGGAGAGGGGTCCCCTGCCCTCATCTCTCACTTTAGCCAGTGACAAAGACGTTATTGTCATGCGTGTATTGTGAGCACTCCACTTCAGGAAACTCATGACAATCCAGTAGAGCTAAAAATGAAGAGTTTTGTTCCATAATGAGACGTGGACCTTGTGAAAAAGCTGACGCCTGTATTATTAATTACAAAATGTGAAAAGTTGCATTTATTGTTCATGAAAAAAAAAGTGCAGGAAACCTGTGCAGAAAAAGAATCTGCAGACAAAACAGTGGACGAAATAGTGAAAATCCACTTGATACTTTAGTGGAAGTCTGATGTGATTTATTTGGACAAGTTGTGCATCGTCAGTCTTTGTGAAAGCCTGAAAAGCCGCAATGGCTTCATTTAAAGAGTCAAAAATGACAAATGAGTTTGCTCAATTGTCCCACAGACAAAGACGCTCTCTCCCCTGACAACCCCACAAAGTGACTTGCACAGAGGGCAACAGAGCTGTTTGTCACATGCCAAATTACCTGTTACAAATGAGAAACGACTCCGCGAGCTAAGTAGCGCAGAAGAGTGAGATAGACGGAGAGATGCTCTCTTGTGCATAGAGATGAGATAGTCTATGTGCTTTCCTTCTTTCCTGGCATGCTGACACATATTTGAAATTGAGACAGAGGAGAGGGAGGGAAGCTTGGCAGTCCAGTCGGAGGGTAAACCTTTCAGAAAAGCTCTCAAGTTTTCCAGCAGCCTTGGCACCGCTCTGCAAGTGTTTAACCCTCCAAAAGATGTGCATTGAGTTTCCTGATATTTATCTGGATACACATTTCGAAAGCTCTGGAAATCTTATTTCAGGTAGAGGGATGTCTGTGACAGACAAGTACTTAATTCAAATAACAAAAACAGACAATGAGTGGGCGAGGAATGGAGGACACGTCCGAGGATGAGTGGCTTTACCCCAGACAATAGGCAGATATTGGCCCTTCAGACTGGGCCTGGGCTTGTCGCCAAGGACCCATGGTTCTTTTGAAAAAAAACACAAGAGGACGGATGACCTTGCTGTCTCCTCGGCTTCCTCTCAGTAAAAAACAGAGGGTGTGACGGAGCAAAAAACTTCTGAAAGTCTTTTTAGTGTTGAAGGTGTCCGTTTGTTTATCTTTCAGAGCAAAAGAACATAATGGAAAAGGGTTTTTTTTTACTTCTAAGAAGACCAGAAGTTTCTGTCACAACATGGGAAAGAACCTCCAGATTGCCTTCAAGATAACATCAGGATGTGATGAGATTATCCTGCAGCTTCCTCCTTTCACAATATAAGCAAGGGTTATTAATGGATCTTCACCATTATAAGGCAAAGACATCATGTATCAGCACTGCCAAGCCACTGGACATGTGCTGAATGGATGATGCTCTGGTCTCATTCACATGTCTGAGGCTGATGAGCACCAACTAAGTAATGGAGGGTTTATGCAGTGACCTTTAACCCTAGTCCTCTACACACACAGCGCATGTGAACAAATGCACAGTTTCCCCAACAGCTGGAGCTGCTTTAAATATGACGTTTTTAATGTTGGAAAAATGGGAAGTACTCCGTGTTATCCAAACTTCTGTCACTTCACTGGCAGCTTCACATTTCACAGCAGCTGTATGAGACTGATTGATCCACCCACTACTGATCCAGGACAAGAAAACACCCTGCCTTGAAATGAAGCATGAATCTGATTTCATGGATCCAGTATTAAATGAAAGGACAATATACAGCCCAGAAATATTGGTCTAACCCTAAACTCAGTGATTTCAGAAGTAAATTGGACTGAAACCTTTGGATCAAGTCTCTCAAAGGACTTTTTCAGCAGAGTTTTCTTTCCATGGCAGAAGCTTTGGACTGGGGTTCAGACAAGATCTAGTGGCCTTTTCTGTACTTGAAATCCAAGACCAAGTCTAGACTACACGCTGCCTGAACACACACACACACTCTCTCTTTCTCTCTCTCCCTCTCACACACACACACGGCACACTTACTAATTTCTGGCTGCACATTTCACCTATCTTTTGGAACAGAACTCAACTTGTAATTTGTCCTTTGCTTAACCTCTATTGTGCTGAGCTGACATGCTCTCTTCTCCAGCAGCGTTGTGCTTCATTTTCATTTCTAACAGTCATTCACACCTGGACTCGACGACCAGCCCTGCATGCGTTTCATCCCCAGGGGGCAAGAAGGGGTTTAACTGATCCCTTAGAATGCAAATATCAGGGGAAACATCCCTCTGGTTGTTCAAAACAGAAATCAACAAGGACACTGACATGTCTCGACTTGTTGCAGGACAGTTTGTCATAAAAAGCCAAACTCAAACAGAGCATGGAGACAAATTCCTGATGCTAAAGTAGCATAAAGTGCAAATTGATGATGAAATATGCAAAATTGTGCAAATAAATCTCCTACTCCTAAAGAAGTTGACATATTTTCAGTACAGTTACTATCCTTCAATGGTGACTTTCAGTGTTGATCCATGTTCGTGTTATTCCGCGAAAGGTAAGGGTGTGTGAAAATGATCAGCACTCAAACATAATTTGTAGGAAACATGGGTGTAGACTGAAATTACTACAAATGGGATGGCATACAGTGACACAGTGAAGATGTTATTCTGTGATATCACCATCAACAGCCATGTTCCCTGTCTCACCACCTTTAAAGGCTGGGGTATGCTCGAAACAAACAAGTATGCACGGAAAATCATCTGACCACGTCTAATGGCAATGCTTAGGTTTCCTAATGGCAACACTTGAAGGCAGAGCAAAATGTCTGTGTTGCAGGGTTACCCCATGCTTCATAATAAGAGGGTTAAAAAAAGCTGCAATTCCATCTGGCCGGCACATAGGACTGTTGCTGTGTGTGTTGTGTTAGGCTAGCATCAATGTTGCACTACTTTCACCAGTGTTTAATATGTCATTGCCAGTCTACAAGTACATGTACATTAGCATTAGCATTAGCTTTAACATAGTAAGCTAGTGGTAACAGTTAAGTCATTTTATCTTGCCAGGTTATAGAGATGGATAGGCGTCACAACCAGTTGAAGATGTACCAACAAGAAACACATACTTTAACTCTACAGTCATTTATTGAAATAGTCTTGGGTTACACCAAGGGGTTTGTCTGTGTTCACCCATCTGTTACCAGGTGCATGCAGAGCTCCCTGGTCCAAATGTCAAACAGGAAGTGGCAGGATCCAAGGGCTTTAGTAGAGGGTGGGGAACCGGAATGTACCATCTCTAAACTAGTGCTGAGTGGTTGTTTTGTTAAGTAATTCAGAAATGCTCTTTTAGGGCCAAAGTAAATCTATGAGTAAGCAGTCATGATATTAATGTATTAGGATAGGTTGAGAGATGTGCACAGAAATGTATTTAGATGTAAATGTTCTGTATATTGGTTGATTGATTACAATTACCTGTGGTTTGTCTCATAGGAGGGG